TTTAGTGTAGTATGTGTTTGTTTTCTTTGGCTGAAGCGTCTTTTTTATTTACTACATTGAATGTATGACTGAAATACATGTGTACTATCTAATATGCTGCTTCTCTCACAACAGTAATTTAAGGTGAATCTCATTAAAAGCCCTCTTTCTGAACAGATAAATGAAGCAATAATGTATTTTTAATGAGGTAAGGTGATTTCTTGCTGTGCAAATGTGCCTAGACCCTGTAAAAACAGCGTTCCTTTTCTACACAGTGAGGATAATGATGAGTGTTTATCAATACATCATTGTCCTATTTGCTGCTAAGACTGACCTAGTGAGCTACATATCAGAACTGGGGGCTACTCTGCTAATAAGAAGGTCAGTATTGCTGTTGTGAAAGGGCACTGTTTCACTGTTTGAATTATTATAATGTCATTGGCATAAACTTCCAGAACCTTGGCTGAATTCTTAGTTTTTCAGGGAAGTATGGAAAGGACTGAAAAGACTGGGAAAGGTGTTCTCCAAGCACAACATGACAGTGTTTTTAGAAAACAGCCAGAAATAAGGCTGAAAATATACCTGTAAAAAATACCAGCTTCTGAAATTTCTCCACCAGTGATCCATGAAAAAATGACAGGAAACAAATTCCTCCAAAATAAAAGTAAATTGTACTCTTGATCCAAACCCGCCTGAACCTCTTTTGGTCTACTTCACATAAAGCATTCTGGATAATTTGGGAATTTTTAGGTGTCATTATATATTGGACACTTCAGATTGTATTAGGATAAGGTGACCAAAATGGCATGATTTTGTGGATTTTTTACATTATGCCTAGGTATTTTTTTTATTTTTTTTCTTTCCTTTAGTGTTATCTAAATTGCTTTGTGACATTTTCATATTATAATTACAATGTTTATTACTGGTTTACATTTGGCTTTTGTTTTCTTTTTACATTTTAGTCATGGTAACAGGTAGAAATTCTAATCTCCATCACAGACCTAATCCTAATTTATTTTGTAATTCTCCTGTGGGGACTATATTGTATTTTACACTAAATAAATTCTATTTCTTACTGTCTTTCTAATTTTTAATTTATGCTAGTCATGGGATTATTACTCATACCTACATGTAGCAAAGCTCTAAAGTACAGAGTTATCTAATTTGATATAAGGCATCGGAAAAGTTCAGATTTATGCAAACATTTCTGCTTTTAGATACAGGCATAATGTAAGCAGAAACCTTCAAAGAAAATGCATACTTTGGTCAATCAGCATTTGAATTAGTATCTAAAAGATTAATGTATATTGCATACAAAATGTTAGACCTGAGGAAATCTTGAAAACAATTTTCCTTTATTTCCTATTTGTTGAAAAACTGCTTCCATAAAATAATGATTAATTTTAAATTGGACCCAAAGAGGGTTTTAACACTGCTACATTTGCAAGGGTATTTTGTGAATTATTGGCACTTTGGTTTTTTCCAGTTGGGACTTCCTGTGGAAACATATTTGTTTGTTTGTTTTGGTTTGTTTGTTTGTTTGTTTTATATCTAAGGCCAACTAGTTAGCTAATCAGTAAAAAACCACTGAGCTCAATGAGCAGATTCTAGGCAAAGACCAGGAAGTGTTTTTGGAGCTTTAAATTTCAGTGACTGGACATTAGTTTTGAAGAAAACAGAGCACTGCCATCTTTTGTTGGAAGAGACTAACTGCAGCTTTCAAATGTAATAGCTGGAACAGGTCTGATTTGGACACACTACTTTCTGTTGGAAGGGTTGTTTACCACGTAGGCAGATATTCTTTCTTATTACACGCAAAAAGATATATTTTTTTGTATTTGGCTAATATCTTCTGAGGGAGAAGACTTCATACAGATATGAACAAGAGTCAGAACCTACCATTCTACTAGACTGCTTGTACCTTTATAAACAAAAACACTTCAGGCCAAATCCGTAAGTCTAGATATGGTCTTTTCTTACAATAAAAACAATGCATTCAAGTTTGATTTGTTAATGTAGCTGAAGTTTTTAATGAAGAAAAAAAAAAACCCAAGTACCTACCTGTAACCCATGCTGCTGCTGAATCACAGTTTATTTTCTGAGAAGACAGATCCAAGTCTGGGGTGGTTGGAAAGGCCTTTGCTTTCTATTGTGTACCTCAGGAAGGAAGGGGTGAAATATAAAACTGTAGTTAATGTACACGAAAAGCTAGAAACCTTTACATCTCTGATTTTACTCACTTGTATTATGGCAAATAATAATTAACAAAGACTGTTGCTTCAGGAATGAAGGAGCTTGTAAGAAACAGTGACATTTCATAGTGCCACAGAATTGAGAGTTCTGTGGGTTTCCAATAGTTATTAATTCTTAATTTCCTTAAGTAGAAAGACATGTCAGATCCACATCTGCCATTTTGGTATGCATAATTTGCTCATTTTTATCTATTACTTCTTATTTGAGGGCTTTTTTCTGACAATTTTGTACTGTGGCAAATCAGGACTCTCAAATCTGCATTTGACTGCCAGTATTCTTCTGCAGATGCACAGTAGATCACCTATGGGCAACTGTAGTTTGATGCCAGCACCTCGATCGGAGTTTAAAAAAAAAAAAAAAAAAGGAAGAAAAGTTGTATATTCCCATAATGTAATAAATAAGCTTCTCCTGTTCTTCTTCCCCCCATACAATAGATTGCCACCTGGAAGTTCAAGATGGTAGAAAATGCTTATGACAGAGGGAAAGGAGAGAATATGCCAGATGGTGTAAGGACCCTCATTAATGTGAGTGCTTGGCTTAAAGCATCTTTACCTGTATATCCCTACTGACAAATATTTGTCCTGAGTATGTAGAACTGCCACCAGCCATCATAAGCTGCAGAGGGAATGTGAAAACTGAATTCTCTTCCACAGCTGTGGCTGTAAAGATTTCTTTATATTCCCCATTCAGATGCTACCCAAGTTTGAACACTGGGCATATCTAAAGGGCAACCACTGTATTCTTGCCTATCCAATCTGATTTATTTAGTTTTTAAGGTTTCAAATGGTCCATTTATTTTAAAAAGTATTGAATCAAAACATTATTTGCTTTATTTATATTTTACATGTACAGGAAATTATTTGGCTTGTATAAGACAAGTAACAAACACTATCAGATCTTAGTCTTTTTATATGTCAAGAGCTCAAATTTAGCAATATTCCAGTAAATATTCCAGAATATTTACGAAGGAGCTTTGGAAGTGCATTAATTGCCACACAGCTCATCTTATTGAAAAATCAAATCAGAGAGAAGTTCACTCAGTATTAATAAAACATACAACCCTCTCCTGCCAGTTACCAAATTCTTTATGTTTCAGTGTCATTAATGCTGTTTGTGCCTTCCATAAGCCCTAGGCTAAATACATTGGTATCACCAATGGCTTCAGCAAGTCTCTGAGTAAGTAGACTAATTACATGACTTCATCCATGTATTTGGATGTCTGGGGCATGACTGGTGTAAGCCTGAAGTTATGAAAGAAGAGACCTGTAACATCCTGTTACTCATCTATGGAATGGCCTACAGATCTCTGCTTTGCCCTTAAGAGACTATCCTTAAATCTGAGATATTTAGATAAAATAAAGATTCTCATTACCCTTAGAGTTATATAGTTGTCACTTCTTTCCAAGTCCAAAATCCAATTTGTGGAATAAAAACTCTATATAATCCATTTTGATAAAAGATAATTAGGCTCTTAATATATTAATATATATTTAATACATTAATATGTTCAATCAATTCACTTACTTATCATGCAGTTTTTATTCTTAGTTTTCCCAACAGGCTATGGCAACGACTCTTTCACAGTCTCAAAAAATGAACTGCAAAAATCTCATTTGACTCTGAGTAAAATCTGTTTGCTCAAACAGCAAAATGTTAATGAGCATACCCTTATTAATCTCTGTACCTTTTGTTGACACAACTTGTTAACAAGGATTCACATAAAAATTATTGAGCAATTTCATTCTATAGTCTGAGTTTCCTTGAATATGTAAGCACTGAATTTTGAAAGACATAGATGCCACTTACTTAAGTCTTCTTTATGTAACCTCTCTTAGAGGTTAAGGGTTAGGGGTTAGGGTTAGGGGGTTAGGGTTAGTGGGGTTAGGGTTAGTAGGATTAGGGCTAAAGGTTAGGGGGTTTGGGTTAGTAGAGTTAGGGTTAGAGTTAGGCCATGCCAATGCTTTTATGAATATTAGCACAACGGCACATTACAGAATGCCCAAATTTTTTGTTTACTACAAGTATAGTTCAATATATTTACTGGAGGTACATTTTAATACACCCATTCTATACAAGCAATTTTTCCATAAAATAAGTTACCTAATATTAATACTTTTGCATAATTGCTATAGGAAGGGAAAAATGTTTATGCCCAAGTCAAAGCTACAGTCAGTTGTCAACTGATAAAAGAACTGAATTCTCTCTTACCTGCTTTAACAGACTTACTTTTCTCTTTTGTAAAAGAAAAAAAGTTCTAGAAAAAATAAATAGGCATGGTAGAAGCAAGTGCTCCTCAAAAGTGATAAACACAGCTGGAGTAAAAATGGGAACAGTTATGCTCTTCCTGGCTAGGAACTGATCTTTAACTTCTACTAAGTGAGGGGCAATAGGCAGTGCTCTGTTTGCGCTGGTAGCTCTCAGTTTAGTTCTTCATGCAACAAAATTGACATTACAGTTTCCAGCTCTAGTGTGTTGAAAGCTTGCACAGTAAAATCCTAAACTAGGGGCATGATGGGGGGATTTTATTATTTTTTGCCTTTTTATAATAATAAAGAAGCATTATTTTTGTAAACTGAATATGATGAGATGGTTATGGGCAATGAAAATCCTCATTATAATAATAAATATAGAAGCACTACAAATCACAATGCATTTCCTTCCAAGACTGGGATTTTCAAAATGTTCTCCCCATGTCCTGCAGACCAGCAGCCACCTGTTGCTGGAAGTGAAATTACGAGACTGGAGAATCTGGGCACATCCTGGATTGTTTCTAGTTCATTCATGATCTTGTACTTACTAAGTGCTACTTCCCAAGTAATTAGGTGGTATCTACTTGCATGCAGTAGAATAACCTCTGTCTCACGCATTCATGCCTCATTTCCTCATTTAATGCTCTTTTCAGTCTTGTTATTTATTTTCTTTAATATTACACTTCCAGCTCTATAGCCAGATGACTCACACTCGTTGCCATCCACAGCAGCATTCTCCAGGGCCTGTGAAACAATAAAGTAATTTATAAAAGCTTTTCCACTAAAGTTATATACAGTCAGAGAAGCTAACCTTTATTTTAGTGGCACTTGAATTAGGATGAAGTTCCATTCAGAAAAGATTATTCATAATAAAATACAGAACATCACCATGTATTTTATATTAGTTAAGAAAAAAAAAGAAGCCACAACTCCGTAACTACACCACACAGCACAGTGCAGTGACAGGCAGTGCCTGACACTCACAGGTTATTTTTTTTTTCATTCAGAAATAAAAAACCCTAAGAACAGGGTGAAAATTTCAGAGCACTTCCCTTGTTTGCCATAGAAAAGGGAGAATTGAGTTCTAAGAAATTCTACATTAAATACTGAATGACTGATTTATTTTCCTCACAAGAGTCAAAATGTTGTTTCCTTTGAGTTGCACACTGTTCCCTGTTCAGCTGTCATTATCCATCTACGATCATTACAGTGTACAATTAGAATTTGTGATTAGAGAGTAATTGTTACCTTCCTGAAGGTGACACTGACAGAGAGACAAGTAAAATTACTGAGATAAAACAGAGGTAATCCCTTCTAACATGCATACAGAAAAAAAATCTTGCTAGCCAAGAATAAAGGTATCCATACACCAAACACGGGTGAATCTATTACCTGTAACTGAGGGGGAACTCCTGTACTTTTTCCATGGAGGAAACTACTGTTGTTTCAATGACATCAACAGAAACTGACCTGTGAAAGTATAGTACATTCCTTTGTCATTTTAACCACAAATTTCAGTTTATTCACTGTGATAGGAAGATACTGAATGAGATGAAAGAATTGTTACTATTACTGTCTTACTCTTCCTTAAGGTAACTCTCTCTGTGGACTTCCAGTGGAATTAGGATCGGTACATTGAAATGCATGTTATGTTCTGTAAAATTCAAGGAAGCTTCAAGATGCTGGCCTGCTGTGACACTTTATAAAATAACCCACTGAAAACAGTCAGATGCACAGTGAACTACGAGTCAGAACACAGCACTGCTTGCAGTGTGACAAGCATCATGGTCTGCCATGTTTATTTCTCCAAATCCCTAAAGAATAAGATGGCTTGTTGCATTTGTAGTTGTTGATGGGAGAAAGGCACAAATACTTAAAGGCATTTCCATACCAAGAAAGATACCTCTTCACTTGCTGGGAAAAGAAAAATTGTGTAACAAGGTATGGATGCAGAATAATTCAGTCTAATGTTTGAATTCTGTTATCTTGGGTTCCAGGGGCCAAATACAACATTGAACAGACAAATATTACTGAAATGGAGAAAATTTAGGGATTTGTTGAATTTGCTTGTTTTTATAAATAAACAAATTTACCATTACACGGTAGAGGAGATGTAAATGAAATGAAAGACTGATTCCTACACTTGTAATTTGAAGTTCAGAACATATCTAAAATGAAAGTATTTTGCCAGAGCAAAAAGAACTACTCAACCAACACAAAACCACCAACAGAATTACAAATTGGCATTGCGACACTGTGAAGAGTATTCCCTTCCCATTTAAGAAATATCTATATACTTCAAGATTAAACAAGTGTAACCTGACACATTGAAATATCATAAGTTTTCACTAGTTTAAGAAAAAAAACCCCAACATGACAAACATTTAAAATAAATATCACTTTAATATCATTGCAATGCTATTAAAAATCAGAGTGTAAAATTTCATGCTCAGATCATTGAATGGTTTGAGTTGGAAGGGACCTTAAAGCTCACCCAGTTCCAACCCCCTGCCATGTTGAACTTGTGTTTAACAATACCGTAAGTCCTGCTCCCCAGGGCTGCTCCCAGTTCATTCTCCTCTCAGCCTGTGTTTGTGCTTGCAGATGATGAACAAGAACATATATTTTATACCACCTTAAAAATCTACTAGTTTCTTCTTATAAATTGTGCCATTTTTCATACCTGCATACTTGTGAAGACCATGGTGTGTTAGAGGTCTGTGTAAATGTCACATACACAATTTTCAATCTTCTGGTATAGAAGATGTCGTATTTCCGTAATATTCTCTAAGAAACACAAGTGTCTTTGGCTGCACACCGACATTGTTAGCAAAGTCCTTTATGACAATAGAGTACATGCTGTAATTTTCCCTAGAGCTGAAAACTCTTTCAAATGAACATGAGTCAGGCAGTACTTTTGGGAATAATGTCGCAAAGTTGTAAATGCTGCTTACCATCCCCATGAATGCTGCCTTTTGGAGGCAGTACATCAAATGTCAGACACAATGTGAACTCTAGATTGTTGGAGTGCCTGTTAACATAGTGATATTTTCAAAGTTGTCTTGCTAAGTTTGAAGAGAAACAGCTATTTAGGTTGGCAAATGAAACAAAGGTTGCACAAACCAAACATATGCCATTGACTGTGACTTGCTTCATGATGGAAATATGGTTCTAGATTCAAAGCTCACTGGCACTTTGTGATCCAGGATGATTTTATATGAAATACTGGTTGTTCACAATCTAACACCAGCCTGTTTATTGGAGAAGCACTAACACTAGCTTAGTTTTCAGCACTCTGGTGATAGTTCTGAGAGATCTTAAAGACACATGCTCAGCTTTTCTACCTCCTGCTAGAAGCCTGCCCTACTAGAATTGTGCCCTCTGGAAGTCTAGCCATGTGGTAGGGGTGATTATGATTACTTTGGTAATTACTTATTAGAATCAGGAGAAACCACAAGGTAGCACAAAAAGAATTAAATCTGAATTTAACATGAATCATTTACTTCCTTCTGCAAACCTTTTCAGGAGAAGCTTTCTCCTTATTGATGATGATATCGCTGTTGTTTATTTCATGCAGGTTTCACAAAGGTATGTCTTCTACGAGTAGGTGCTGTCTTAGATTGCTGACGGTTTTCATAGTTTTTTGTCAATATTGAACTTTTTTTAAAAAAAAAGTTGTACATTAATATTTTCAAAATTGTCATGTTTCAAATGAATATTCAGAGTATTTCACTGTGTGACCAGATTAATAGTTCATAGAAATAAACTTGGCGAAGTAGCCCTCTATTTTCATAGGCTGGGTGAATATACAGAGGTGATTTACAACCAGTATTCTAAGTAACTTTTTTTAAAGGGCTTGAAACAAAGCTGGGATTTCCAAAGCTGCATATGGCTAAAATCTCTTGTCCTGTATGTCCTTATGCCTTACATAGTAGTTCAGGCCTGTGTTTAATGAATGATGCATGAAGGGCTGTTAGGAAGTTGTGCTGCAGGGGAAGACTTTATTCTGAGTCATGAGCAGTGCTGAACTGTAGCCTCATTAATTTGATTAAAAGCATGGCTCATTATAGCCCATCTGGTTATGCAACTTTTAAATAATACATAGTTTGCCTGAGATCTCATTAATTGAAGTTATTATGCATTTTATATATTTTTGTGACTCTTTGATCTAAACTCGTGCGTTATCCTGCTGTTTACATCAGCAAATTTGCCACTGGCCATGCATGTGCAACACCTGAATGTTTGCAACATAATCCTTTTGATGCTTACCAGATATGTAGTTGAGTTTTCAGCTTTTTGGTATGGTTTGGCATTATGAATCACTAGGAAGGTGAATAGATAGCATCCATTTTGAAAAATAATTATATAACCTGAAAGTACTGCTAATAAAGGAGTTTATAACAGAATTTTAAGTATGCTTTGAAAGAAACTTATTTTGCCTTTTTTAAAAAGTAAATGCTAATAAGATACAGTTAACAAAATGATCTACTGAAAAATTAGTTCTATAACTGTTTTCATGCACATCTTTTGCCTGGTGGTCAAAGTTATTAAGGTCACACTGATAAAATTATGCTTTCTATGAATTACTCAGTATTATATACCACAAGGCAACCAGCACTAAATCTAGCACAAACACTATTCTGAATCACCTCAAGAGATGACAAGTCAGTAGGTAACAAATAGGCAGTAAGTTTAAAAAATAATAATAATAAAGACTGAAAAAACGATATTGAAAGAAATTCTACAGCAAAAGGAAAAATGTCAGTACTGTAAAGCTAACTGACTTGAAACCTTTGGTTCATATTGTCCTTAGGTGAACTATCGATGCCATTTTTAGGAGGAATACATGATGCTTTGAGTCATATCCAATCTACTGTCTCTAGTGAATGCAGAAGGTTGACCTGTGTCATAAAAGATGCCGGAAGCATCCTGGAATTTGACTCTAGGTGGAGAGAACAGTAATGAAAAATCTCCTTCAAGACATAAGATTTCTTATTTGCGAAGCCCTGGCTGACAGGCTGATGTTTGACATGTCTGGAAGTCTTGTGATTGTCTGGCTGTGCTGTGATGTGCTCTGATTCTGCAAAGAACTGCTTCATAACTCAATTATAGTTCACTGGGAAAATAACACTTTCTAGTAAGGAACTGTGAATGACAGACACATTCTTAGAACTCCGGGGGGGGGACTGGACTGTAGACCTTCTTATCAAAATCACATGTTCTTCTGCATCATAGACAAACATTGGTTTTAGAGCTGGCAAATGCCGTTTCCAAGCTTGCCACTTTTGCCAGGCACTGCAAAGATGCATCCTGAAGGTCAAGCAGAACATAAATTATTGAGATTTTCACTTCCTATATGTAACTTTCAAAAATTCTAAGCCTTTACATAGACAAAACTTGTAGTGTTGAATAAGAACATGTAAACTAAAACCCACCATCCTCCCCATATTAACTAAATCCAGAGGAGCTGAAAGTAACTATAGCTGTTAAGGGTTTTTTTCTGAATACTGAACTTAATTCAATGGATTAATCTAAAATATACCTGATGGGACTTAACCAAAGGAAAGTTGGTTTTCTGGGAAGTGATTACCATGCTAGCTGAGAAGCTATCAGAACCATGATCAGAACTGTTGACCCAGGCTTTCTTATGAACCATGCTCAACTCCTTTTGTAAAATCTGGGCCATTCATACCCTATTTGAGGTGCTCAGGGTTAATGCGTCTTTGTGGGATTTCAGCACTTCAGGCTTTCCAGTTCAAGCACGCGTTCTTCTACCTGATCAGTGTTCAACTTACGCAAAGAACAAGAGAAAGTCTCATCAAACAATATATGAAAAATTTGACAAATGCCATATTAATCTTACCGAGATGCATCTGAAAAACAAAGTACAGTCATATAAGTGATAGAGCCATCTAAACCATAGAGCTGAAAAACATTGTGAATGTAAGATGGCATAACAAATTACCTAGTATAATTCAACACAGTGCTATTACTCTTCTATCCTCTCTCACAACATGCTGTTGAACTTTCATCCAAATTAACTTGCACCTGTCTTTGGCATTGTCATGGTCCTTTCATCTACAACCAGTTTATCTGTATTTTAACAAGATACATTTTCCTTACATCAAGTCTTACCTTGCAGTAGTACATGAAGTTCCCAGCTCCAAGTCCAACATCCACTCTTCATACTCAACCCCTAAAGACTTCCCAAGCATGAAAATGTAAATCACCTGTTGGAACAAGTTGGGTTTTCTGAAAGAACAAAACCAAAGTGACTGAAGAGCCTGGGTTAACTTTATAAGACATCTAATAGGATGAATTCCTTTTAAATCCCAGTCCAGTTATTACGCATTTTACCCACCACTCAAATAGACACAGGATTTACCCCAGGGAAAAAAACAGAAATATGATTTCACAATTTATACAAAATAACAGGAAAATGAATAGTTCAGATAATAAAGAACTAGTCCTTTCAAAACAAATTTCTAGAAGACATGGTTGTGCAGCCAAAAGCTAGTGTAGAGTTAGTGAACCACAACTAATCACTTTTCACTGTCTCTTTGTCTGTCCTGACTGTTTCTCAACAGAAGCTTGGATGCATTTTTTTTTCCTGAAAACAATGAAAATGTACAGTAGCCATTAGAGCACAGAAGTTTGGGTCTTTTTTGTCTTTTTTTAAAGCAAAACATCGAAGTGTCGGGGCGGGGGCAGGAAGGAGAATTAAAAAACCTGAACTTTTTAGCAAAGTTAGCATATCAAGAGGAAAAAAAGCTGTCCTCAGCTGCTGCTTGGAAAATGGACCATCCAAACAAAACACATCCCAGGAACAGAATTGTGGATGACACTTAGCTATTTCTGAGATGAAATATTTTGTTGAACTGAAGAGGACTGAACTTACTCAGGTGGAAAGACTTAAAGAAGGAAAACTGGCTCGGATCAAAGAACCATGACAGTATTATCATTTATTTAATTTTTTTTAGAATGAGCTGATTTGGGCAGGTTGCTTGTGCTCTAGCACAGTTACATTCTTCTGGGCAAATTGCTATACAAAATGAACTCTGAACAGACACACCATTTTTTGGCAAGAGATGATGAGCAGGCACAAGCATCCATCTTCACTGTGTGTCTTATCCTCCCAGGTGATGGCAGAATTTGCTTCATGGTCTCTAAGCATAATTCTACCAATAATGATTATTTTTTTATAGGAGACATTTACTCAGGAACATTCAGTACTATAAGAAATGGTTCTGCTTTCTAAAAAAGACAAAATAGCTAATGTTCATGCTCTAAGAAACTTTTGGGAGCAGTATATGCATCAGACAGCTTATTTATATAAAGCACAAGCTAAACTGTAAGATTACAAAAAGATCTAAATAATACAGGTGTTTCTTATCTGTATAGCATGTTCCCTTCCAGAGCATCTCTGATCTTTTCAGTATTATCAGACTTGACTTTTGGCCAAAAGAAGAAGCTTGTAACCAAAACCACCAGAGAATTCTTACTTTCTGGGTACATGCAGAGCCTCTATTTAAAGTCTCATACAAAAGGTTTCTATAGAAACCCGGAGGACTCAGCCAGCCAGTACTAAAACGCCGACCCTGAGGCCTATACGAAGTCCACAAATATATTTATTCCTCCTAATGGCTCCTTAAGTCACTGATCTCTATCATGCTGAAGCATACCTACCTTCTTAATATATAGTGTTATACCTTACACTAGCATACTCTGTCTTTGAAAATAAAATAATCTGGTAACTGTTAAAGCCATGTTTTAACTCAGGTCCTTAACTGATCCCATAGCTAGTGAATTGAAAATTAACTCTGATCTCCTTTCTGGCATATACTATCTCCTAGGACTTTTTTAAAGGAGCTGTTTGTCCTATATATAGTTATGTCTCAAATTGTTACTCACTAAAAGAGCAAGTATTTTTGGTTCCTTCTGAAAGTCATATTTCCATAGTGATGCCAAGCTGACAAAAATATGCAATACATCATGATAACTGAAAATTAACTCACTATCACAGATACTGCTCCCAGATGCCATTTTAAACTTGCTCTGGAATATTATACTGGTACAAAATTCAGGTTTTCCTGAACCTGATTTTAATATGTGTTCGGTATGAAGTATTCTCTCCTCTTAATTTTCAGCTTGTTCCCCATTTCTCTTTTGGGTTGTTTCAGTTAGTTATCCTAGGCTAAAGCAGAGATAAAGATTCATTTCAGGGTCTACTCCTGAACAGCAGCTTGGATGGGACTGTGCTAGGTTTGGCTTCCTCTTCCCTGTAACACTGTTCTCATAGTGCCATAAGCACTGCACAGTCCTCCAGCAGGCTTCTCAGCAGACTTCCATTCCTCATCTCCACAGCATCTCTTTCCCCTGTGCTCATTTTCACACTATAGAACCATCACGGTCATCATTTGACAGACAGCATTTCTCCATGTTTGTCCCCTGGAATGTCCATAAATGCTTATGTTCTGCTGGCTGTTAGGTCTACGCAGAACTCCAGAGAGAGATACACATTGGTTCACCAACGATGAAAACTCACACTGAGCAGAGGGTATATAGCACAAGACAGATGGAAGTCAGCTCAACCCTCTCACTTAATTTGGGCAGCGCTTTCAATGTGCCTGAAAGGACAGACCACGTATTTCTCATACCTGTTTAGTGAAAGGTTTTCCCTTGTGCAGAATCTCTCTGCTTTCTTGACAATAGTCTTAGAAATGCAGATTCCTTCATTTTCCTACTTCTGATCTACCACTATGGCTCAATCTCTATTAAAATAACATTTCAAATAGAATTTAAGTCTACAAATATAGTAATATTTCCTTTCTGTTAGATCAAGAACCACCTGCAGGAATGACAGAACTCCAAAGTTCAATAGCACATCAATACTTCACAAAGAAATGACTCTCCAAGACAAACTGGGCATTCATCTCTCTCTTGAGCTTGCAGAACTATGATACTAGGACATACCACAGACACCAATTCCAAGGATAATTATTCATACCATCTATGAACAACTCTCCCAAAGGTTGTGGAGTTTGGGGCAAGTTTATCTTTAAAGAATTCATGACATACCTCCTTTCAATCATCTCACATCCACCCACACTGACATTTCACAAACCAAACTTATCCGTAATACCTCTCAACGCAAGGCATTTTCTACACATTTGTTCAGGTCAGTGTGCAAATGTTCTCACTTTCCAGCCTTAAAAAAAAGAGAAAGAAAATAAAAGGAAAAAAACCCACATACTCCCACATTCTTGTACAAAGGACTACTCAAGGTCAAGATCAAGAAAAAAGGCCTTTGTCCTCCGCTTTTGTCCTCCCCTTAGCTTGTGCAGTACCTTCGTTCACAGAGCGCTCAATAAATTTCCAATCAGAATTTCGCATCTCTCGCAACCTCTTTCCCCCAGGGGTAACAAGATCAGACAGAATCAAACAGACAAATATTACAGATCTTTGTCCAATTGCCATTGCAAACCCCCCCCCCAAAAAAACCCCAAACCACCCCCCACCCCCCCTTCCCAAAAAACCCCACCCAAATATATGTATAAAAAAAATTAAATTACGGAAAACAAAACCCTCAATCTTTATTTCTAAGTAAAATCCTCACTGTAGCTTATTTATGCCATGGTTGTTGGAAATACCTTTTGAAGCACTTTACAGCAGATTTGCTGCCTATGTCTCAATTGCCTGCTAAGTCCTCTAGACCATCTTTGATTTTTACCATTTTTTTATTTTTACCATCTTTTTACATCTTTGATTTTTTCAAAGATGTAAAAACTGCTGAACAGCCCTTTTTCCAATTCTACGGCAACAGCTCTGTTTTTCTCTTGGACAGACCTCAATGACATACTTCATGTTAAAAAGAAAATGACAAGAAAAATGAGAGAGTTCTTTTTATGGCAAGGCAATAGCTGTCTCAGCTGAAGACAAGCTTCCGTGTATGATAGTTATTATCATCATATTGGATGAATTGCATTACAAGTTGGAATACTACATGTAGGAAGCAATGTGGTATTTATGCAAAGGAATTAAACATATGAAAAATATATCTATATATGACTTAAAATGATGTAAAGGCAGAAAATGCTAACTCGCATTTGCTGGATCTTCAAGACAATTATTCTAAAAATTAATTAAATAGTAAACATTATTATTCTCTGATTTCCAGATTTTTGTTGTGGAAGTGAAGTCACTCGCACACAGCCTGCTAGTGTGCCACTGCACTGGCTGTATGAAAATGAATCTGACCCCAGGAAGCACAAATGAAGGATCAGGCCTGCATGAACTAAGGATCCATTCATGCAGTTTTAGAGAAGAGTTCTCACTAGCTTCTCAATTTTCTTGCTGTACCACTGAAGCACCATGCAGACTCATTCATGGAAACAGCTTTCAGCAACCCATGTCAAAGGATGCTGAGCAGACTTTTCAGAGGCTTTTAATTCATTTTTAATCTTTGTTCCTAAATGTGGGGCTGATGCAAATAGAACGGCCAGAACAACTTTATTTTAGGAAGAAAGAGTCAGTTTTATGCCAACATTGCTCTCAGGTAGGCCTGAAATGTTTCATCTTAAACTCCCCCAAAATGTCAGCTTCAGGCAACTCATCTCAAGTTAAAAATATCAGCTTTAGGACTGAACTACAATAAAGCAAATGAAAAGGGCCTGGCAACTGGAAGTGTCAGTAAAGCTTAACTATGGATGACACCGTCAGTTCCCTGTGCAGTACCAGGAACTACACTGTCTGTGTGGTAAATGGTGTGTTTTGTGATCTGGATGTACTTTCTAATGATCTGCACCACTTCCTAAATGTCAGACATGTGATGTGAATTTCTATTCATGTTACCACTTCAGTCTATAATCCTGAATAATCACTATAATCTGTTCTTAGCAACTGTGGTCATGGTAAGGGATGTACATCCACATCCATCAGAGATCACTGCCAGTTCTCACAGAAAACTTCAGGAGAAGAGAAAAAAAGACTGGAACAAATGAAAACCCTTCATTCAAGATTCTACAATGCCAGTATGATTTGTGCCCTCTTCGCGTCAAGCCCTTGAACGCATGTATAATTAAGAACTTAATTAATTCCACTGAAGGAAATAAAGCTGCTTTATATGCATCACTGTTTTGAAGGAGTGCAGTTTTGTTCTCACAGCAGTCATATTTCATGGAATGCTGTTGAAAATTAAGTAGTATAATTTTTTAATTACATGGAATAAAAACCAATCCCCCCTCAATAAAACCCCCAAACCCAGTATTGAAACTTAGGTGAACAGACATGCATCAATGTATTTCAAGATGTAAATAAATGGACCACATTTAGAGCTCTGTCAGAGAAACTAGTTAAATTTAGTTCGAGAATTTAGTATTAGTGTCTACTTAGAGGACAGGCGCTTTTATGTGTTCAGAGGAAACGCTGCTCGTATCTCTTTGCTAAATACCAGCACCAGTACTACAGAATGACTGCTGCTGCTGAAAAAAAGATCCCCAAAAGCGATCATAAATGAAATAGGCACCAGATCTGATTTAAGCACAAAATCACCTAAAAATAACATGCCTGCATACATGTAGCTGTAAGACAGAAGTGGCAGACTAGTCTAACCGATACAAATTGAGGTCCCCAACTACTAGTAAGCACATATTTGACATGCAAGAAAAAAAACAAAGAAAAATAAAAGTAACACATGCCACCAGTATTGTAGACTTTGTATCTGAATATTCTACTAGAGCTAGTAGTATTTATTACTTTGCCTTATAAAGGAATGATTGATTGATGACATTATTTTCTTAATTAATACATTTTAAATATATTACTTTTAGAATTTATTTACTGAGCACAGGTTAGACTGAAGTTAAAGTACTTTTAACGGTTCATAGCAATCAAAATAACTGAATTAAACTGAAACTGGATCAACTTAATACAAATCATGTTATTCTGTGGTAAAACACCCTATCATAATAACTAATATGGGCTTTAAAGTTCCATAAAATTGAATATTCTGACAATCTTCTGATCTTTCTAATGTCCAAAAGAAGGCTTCCAGGGAAGGCTGAAGTAGACTAGAACCACTATTTCCACCATGACTATCTTGGTAAAGGAGCTTGGCAGAACCAGTTTTTCAAGAAGGAATAAAACTCCAACAGAGAACGATTTCTACAGAGTCTTGCTGGAAAAAACTTTATCATTCCAGACAGAGGAGCAGCAGAGAGAAGGCTGTGACTAAGGACAACAGATTTTAGATGTGAAAAATTAATCTTGTCGTTTTCTAATAGTTCTCTAGCAAGATATCAAGTAATATTTGAAAGCATCACTGATAAGACTGTCTTCAGAGAGATTTTAGGTAGTACTATAGATGAGAATTAATGAAGGTAGGGACTACAGAAAAAAGCAAAACACTTCATAGCACATCTGGCTTCTGATAGAATAATGTAGATATTGAAAAGTGCTCATTTACATATCAATGTATTCTAATGAGCAAGGACAAAATATAAAAGGAAGGAAGAAGCTGAGCTTTTTTTGTTCAAAGCTGAGCATCACACAAACACACAGGGTAAGGCAGGCCCTGATGTTCGCTTCAATTTCTAGGAGTAAAAGAATCTTGTCTCATCTTAGGCTATGTCAAAGAAAAAAAACAATCCAACCCCCATTTGAAGACAACTTTAGCAGTAACAACATTCTTTTCCTCAAGTGGTGGATCCAGCCCAACAAGGTGTTCTGTCTTGCTGTAATGTACCACAACCAAATCCCATTTTATGTGTAACAGACAATACAGGGAGCAGACTATCGCCTGTGAGCATCGCTGACACAGAACCCATTCCTAAACTTTTTGCTGAACCTTCAATTTAGTGGAAGCAAAATTAATCGTTTACCCAGCACACACACTGCAAAGCATCTAAACTTTCACTAAGTCCTGTTTTTCAAAGTTAGTGTCTTAAAAAAAAAAATGTAGCATCACACGTACACCAGAATAACCATTTCCAAACAGAGCATTAACATTCCACATGTGGACTTCTGAATACTAAAGAAAGATTAGTATTCAAATAAAGGAAATAAGGAAGGTCTGGGTTACTTTGTTCTTTCATTGCTGGGAAAGGAACCTCATGCTTGGCTATCACAGAGCTTTTGCTCCTGTTTATTTGAAGAACCGAAGTGTCAGACTGTGCTCCTGCAGGCTGATATGTCTTTTTCACTGATCAGCTAAATTTCTCTTTCCCTGATTTTTTGTTTTGTGGTCAATATTTCAGACATGAAAAATTAATCTTATAATTTGTGAACTATCCTCTAAAAAGAGATCAAGTAACAGTTGAAATCAAGTGTTAATGAGACTGCCTCGGGACACAGATTTAAGGAGGGAAGGACCCAACTCATTTCGGCTCAGGATGGTGCAGGGTGTTGGCCTGTAAAAAGTTACAACAAAACCTGTTAAAACTTCACACTCAGAAGAACATACCCCTAGAGTATATTCCCTCTCTTTGCCTTCCTGATGAACAGTTGCATAATCTCTTTTGCCAGCTATTTGATGTGTTATGGTCACGCTGCTCTGCCTGAACAATGAATCCTCTCATAACACAGATACTAAGTTAGTTGACTAGGTAAATTTACTTCCCATTATGATGGAACGAAGTAGCTGTGCTACACCTATTCTTTGGGTGCTGATATAACTTTCATAGGTTTAACTTGTACTGAACAAGGACTGGTAGGAGACCAAAATTATTCCAACACACAATGAACTGTATGTCCTAAAACCAACCAGGGAAAGCAGAAAGCAGAAAGAGACCAGAGAGGCAGAAACAGAGCGCAGCTTTCCACTTTTCCTCATGTGACCTCAGTCCATTACATGGGTAAAAACCTGTAAGTGCTGTCTATCAGATATAATTCGGATTAGGATTTTAAATTTTTTATTTTTAGGATGGAACAACATGGAAGGCACTATGATAAGAAGTCTGAAGGGGAACAGGATGGTATGTTAAGCCACCAAAACAAAATTGTACAATGGAAAATAACATGGTCCCCAGATACTCCTTTAAAGTAGGGATGGCAACATCTTCTAAAAGCAGTTGAGTATTGCAAATTAATTAGGAGAAAATTAATAATGTATGCAATTAATATCTTACATTGCAAGAAAATCTAAATAGTTTGTCAGTGCATAATACATACTGCATACAGAAATACATAAATGAAACAAAAATGAATCACTTGAGTTTGATGCTATACTAGCAATTAATTTTCTGCCTAATTCTTCAAAATTCCCTTACATAAATATTGCATTCTCTTGGTGTTTGCTAAACAGAATGCTCACCAGTGAAAACTGTTGTCCTTATGCTCCTCTGAGAAGCTGCACTTACTGTATGTGTGTACCAATCTGTTCTTCATGATTTTCTGCAGTTGACAGATCATATCCTCCAACAGCATCACAAAAGGTTGAACCAGCAGAGGCTTGCTAACCTATCCAAGCTGAGGTGCTAGTCTTTCCCTTTGCTAGAATACATTATAAGTAGATAAACATGAAAATATTAATTCATTTGCATATGAATTAAATCCATATTTGTGGAAAGTGAGTTACCAAACTAAGACATATTTGACTAGGTTTTGAGTAAGCTCTTGAAAGAGCTATTGATCCAAAAAAACATCAAAGGCTTAACAGAAAAGCTTGCCTTCTAAAGAAGGCTTGCCTTCTAAGTCAGCAATGCTCTTCAAGGAAATAATAAATAAGGCATGAAGGGGCCTTAAATTTCATTCCAGATAAAAATATTCTTCCTTAGCTAGTAAGTCTCAGTAAATGACGTAGGTGCATGAACTTCAGTCAGGCTTTTCTAGTTTTTGTGAGCATCTGCTATAATGCAACTACTGCCTTTGGTTCATGGGGTATGTAAGTATTAATGATTGTTTGCATTGCAACACCAGTAGCCAAAAACACCTCAGAGAAAAGGAAACAATCAGCATGTCTAGACAGAGCAGGTAAAATTCACAGACAAAATATCACTGTTTTCCAGTGAAGTCTTGTACAAGATGCTGTGTACTGCCATGTCCAATAGGCGTATTAGGCAAAGAGACAGCATTTGAGTTTCCAAGGACATTAATTATTTGACTCTTAAATCATTTCCAGCAGCAGCTTTAGTTTCCAAACTATTCTGCATCAGATTTGCCTCAGGAAATATAAAAGACTAGCTTAACTCTCAACGTGTGACTGGCACTGCTCCATTCACATTTTTTAACTTTATCTACATTTGATAAAGCTACTTTCTGTAAGTCCAGCACCTCCTTTTTACCATTCCATTTGTCAGTCTACTTTGGGAGTTCTCCTGGCACTGGTATCTAGAAAGGAAGAAGAGTAATAATTAAAACCAGGAATCAAATCCCTTTCTGAACAGACTGAATTGCCCATTGTCAAACCGTTAAATTTTGCCCTTTTTATATGTCATGAGTTAACTCATTCTAAGCTTTCCATAGATCAGACTCATCAGCCTCTTTTAGGCCATTCTGCTTTAACAGTTACATAGGGTTCTGGTTAGAGTTTTATATATGTACAGATATTACACTGAGAAATTCCATCATTCATCTAACTAGTGTGAGATTCTCTCTTCTTTTATAAAATCCCTCTTGAGATGGACACTAACCGACAGACAACATCTGTGAGGCAAGCATAATAACAGGGACCTGACCTGTTAATATATTTTGAAACTATCCTGTTATGACCATAAAACAATTAGGAGAAAAATACAACATGTTATTCAAATTCTAGCTTACATACCATTAGGACTGTGTTATCAGCTGATATACTTGGACTGACTCTCCTCTCAAACTACTTCAAAACAGAATTGGAAGCATGGTTTTTGAGAGAAATCCAGATCCATAATTTCAGGCTAGAAAGCATTAATAGCTGTTTATATATACAACTTGCTGAAGATACCAGATACCAGAACCAAGACATTCCAAGCAAAGACTTAAAAATATGCCTTGTTTTAAGGAGCGGAAATAATTTTGACTGACAACAAAGGATACCTTTATGTATGCCAACTTAAGCATCAGTGTTTGCAAAAAGCAGACCTTTTATTTGCGAAATATCCACTGATGTTTGGTTTAATCTCTCTGAAAATAAGGAAAAAATCAATTCCATGTCACACTGGCTGAATTTTAAACATGAGATTCTCAAAAGACGAAGCTTTATCTGGAATATTCCATACATTTATCATCACTAATACGTACAACTTTACTGGAGCAAGGAAACAGAAGAGCTAGAGCAATTAAAAGAAAGATGAGACCAAAATGCTCTTGCCTTAGTATTCTCAAAAGAATTAAAACTTTTGGAGGAGAGGGAAGGATAGGATGAAAATAAGTTTGTTTCCTAGAAACATAACAGAGAACAGAACGCAGTCAGGAAAAAGGCTGTGTGAAAGTTCAGCATGTTGACACCACAAGTACACATGAGCTGTCCATAAATAAAAGAAGCATCTACACATCAAAGGAGTGAGGGTCTGGAAAAGATCCTCAGAGAGAGCATATTCATTTATTTTAAGATGGAGCCAGATGCATCTAGTAAGAAGGATTAAGATTTGATGGCCCAGATTTTTCATAATACTGTGTTCCAGTTCTGGCCTTGGATTCCAAGTTGTGCCCCTTTGTCCATCTCATGCAGGTTTCCCATTGTTTAGGGAAGCTAAAGATATTTTATTACAACACAGATATGGCATCATAGTTTGGATTAAAATAACCAAAAGTTAAGCAGTGACATATGGGACTCAGGAAAGAATTAACTTCACCAGTTTCAGACTGACAGCAGGATGTAGGGCTTCAACATTTCCACCCATTTGGGAGGTGAAAGTGGGAAGAATGAATAGACAGTGAAGCTTCCTTTTCTTTGCTTGCTTTCTTTTAGCTATATTTTCAACTTCCATCAAGAAAGAGCAGAATACCTAAGATCCCTGGGCATCAGTTCCCCGAGTTATGTAATCTGACTTTCATTTCTTTTAGGATCCTCTATTTCAAAGTATAGGATGGAGATTACTTGAATCTCTGGAAATGTCAATGTGAGATCACAATGCCAACATTTCTTACGTAAGGTACACCATACTGCTATGTACACAGGATAAATTCAAGCAATTTATTATCTACAGTGTCATCTAAGCTTATTTTGAAAACATTAATGTGATAGGGATGTAAGCAAAGCATGCAAAGCACATCCAAACCTACCAGAATGAAATATTTCCAGAGGCAGCCAAAAAATGAATCCTTTGATATATGATAGAAATAGAAGGCTAAGAAAGAAACATGTACCATGCTTTATGCATAAAACAATGGATTTTCTTGGCTGTCCCAGCATTTCCTCTTCAGTTCCATTCAGCTTACTGCCTGACGCCCAAGACAAGTCTTCTGGCTACAGTGACTATGGCAAATATTAGGCCAGAAGGCTGAAGCTGTGGTAGGGCTGGTTCACTTCATGAGGAATACTTTCAGCTTACCCAGTCCACCAGAAGTGCTCATCGCAGAGCATACATCCCTGCTTAGCCAAGACCAGACATCATTTGTTTGAACAAGCTCATGATTCAGTTTGTGAAAAGAGCAACACCCTTTTTCATACAGCAAGATTCACTCTCAATGCAAAGAGTACTGTGAAGTACTGACAGAACAAGAGGAAAAAGTGTATTGTTCTACAGCTCTGATGATGTGAACTCAGTTGTTTCAGGGTTTGGGGTGTGGGGTTTTTTTGGTGATATTGGGAGTTGTATAAGAGGAAACTTGTTCTTATCTGTAAAATCCAGTTTATGCCCTTCCTATGGAATTACTGGGACAAAAGAACTAAAATTAGTGTAAAACTGCTTAAGACATTTATAATACTGACTCATGAACATGATGAGATTTAAAAGACGGATGTAGCTGGAAGGAGGAGGGAGGGGGAAAGAGGGGAGTTTCTGTTAGAATTGATAAATTATTCAGACCCTAAACAAACTGTTCAACAGATCTGACCAGAATAATAGAATAGTTAGCCACTGGCCTCTCCCCCACCTCCCCAGGCAAATATTTTGCTTCGCATCAAAGTTTAGGAAATTGCTATGGACTGAAAATGGAAGAAGGCTTTTCTGCATTATTTCTAGGCCTTACTTTAGATTTGGAGAATTTTAATAGGTTGGCTAAATCTTATTTGTTTTAACAGAAGACAACAATTCTCCCATTTATCACCAAATGGTAAGGATATTTCCCAGAGGATCTAGAGCCCCAAAAGATAAAATTGAAATCTGCATTTCCATAATAAATAACTACTTAATTAAATTCTTTCTATTTTTAAAGTTGTGAGTGCAGTACAAATATGTACAAGTGCAGGTACCTTACTTTGGTTTTGGGATACCCAACTGAACTTTGTAATATGAGAAAAAATCCCACAATTCAATTTCACCTTTATTACAAGTGCTTCTATACATAAGCAGAACACAGGGTTAATCAGTTAATATTTTTCATACATTTATGTTTTAAATGCACTGTTTTATGCTTTTAAATTTTCCTTTATTATGATGGAATTGACTTAAAATGAAGAGTGTGGGAGGCGTAAAAAAAAATAAATCTACCCTACCCAGTGTCAAAAAGGATATCAAATTATTGATCTGCAGACAGGAAGAAATGAAATATGGGATCACCTTTTCATTTAAAAGAAAATAATTGGAAGAGCTCCTTAAAAGTTCACAGCACAAATAGATTAAAAATGTAGTCATAAAATCAACTACTGTCTTGAATGTGTTTTCTGCAGAAGTTTTATTTACAGAGCACCACAGATATCAGGATATATCAGAAGAGTAAGGACTTAACTTTCTTTGCTGACTGTAACTCTTCTGCTTATATAGCCAAAGATATTTCTTAGTTGTGACAGCCAAAATTATTACTTCACCTCTGAAAACCATTGTTTTCAGTGACATATCTTCATATATTTTGCTTCAGCAAGCTTTTTCTTCTTGGATTTCTTGAAAATGTCTCTATATTTTATCAGAAGTCAGTCTAACAGATGGACAAAAAACAATCAATACTTTTTCCATGGAGAGCTACAAAATCATTTTTGCAGCTCTGAGGCCTGAGTTGCACCAATTTGGCACACTTTATTTCCATTAAATATTCATGGAGGGTCAATCCAAATTTGTAACTTAACTGTAAACTGTTTATATCTGTGTTATTGTATTTTTACCTGCATTTAGTGTCATTCCACATACAGCTTGGTCTCTAAAGAAAACAAAGAATGAGATAAAAGAGACCAGTGCCTTATAGGTGTCCAAGTATCAGGAAATTCAGAGATAGAGACTTAAGATGTAATCATAAAGACTAGCTTTAGCTCTAACAGTCTAACCAGTACTCTCCATGTGCCAGTCTCTGCCAGAAAGAATGCTTTATTTCCTTTCCCTGACAGTAGGTGGAACCAGAGATGACCATCCTTCAGATTAGTTTTTGTTTCTAAATATTTACATCCCTGTATGATTTAGGCAAGTAGCACCAGTACC